AATAATTGCTAATTAGGGTTTCTATAGGAAAAGTCAACCAAACTTTGACCAGACATAACTTTCTCATACTTCATCCATTTTTCCCAACCAAAGATAATTTTGAGGAGAATCCAATTACCTACAACTTCTCTTCATCCCTCAAGTCCAAGGAATACACCATTTGAAATATACAAGCTTATACATTACAGGTCATTTTCAGAAAGTCAACAAAAGTCACTTTTTGTCAAGACCATTTACATCAAGATAAAATCTTCAAATACAAAATTGATCAAAATATGGATTTAAGTAGACATCTTGGGCTTTCTAAAAAGTCAAAGATCATCATCATGAGATAAAAATTGAGAAAGTTATGGCTTGCCCAAGTTGGGAAAATTTGGGAATTTTCAAGAATTATGCATTAAGAAAACTTGAAGTTTTAGGTCAATGGCTTAATTTATTGGCCTTCAAACATCTTTCTAAGCCTATAGATGACCTCTAAAATTATTCTTTCCATGCCTTGTATTTGCTAACTATTTTATTCATATTTATTTTATTTTATTTCAAATAAATATAAAATAAAATGTATAAAATAATTGGAAATGGGCTTTGAGCTTTGGGTTGATGTTTTGGACAGCCTAGACCCATAAAATTTCGTGCAAGCAATGTACACATTCATTCAAATTCAAAAAGGACAAGATTCCATGTCTTTGGCAAAGTTACAAAACATCATTCATGGCTTTAAAAACACATGTTTATGATTGTTATTACCTTTGTTCTCTTGTCTCCTCCCTCCTCTCTATATAAATGACACATTAGCAAGCTTCAAGACACATGATATACAACCTGGAAAAGCTCTATAAATTTTACAAAAAATATCAAAGTGTAAAATTTGCATTTTAGGTTCCAGCCTTCCTCAGTCCAAACAAAAGATCCAAATACATTCCTGGAGACTCCCTGAAGCTTTTGCAATCATTACCAAGCCCTGAAACATCACAAAACGCCTCAGTAAGCTCCATTTTTGTATTTTCTAACATATTTCATGCAGATTCGATGCATTACATGGCTAGAAGTGTACCAAACACCATCAGATCTAGCCTTCAAATCATAAGGGGTCTAGATCTAAAGGCTTCAATTTGAGATCCACCATGCACCCTCAAGGCCTCATCTCACCTGATCCAGCGCAGCCTGGGCTTAACATTCACTTAGGCCTAGCAAAATTCAATTTCAGCACCCCCTAATTTCTAATTATCCTGGCTTATTTCGCATTGTTTTTGTCACTTTGCTTTATATATTTTTTATTTTAATTTGTTTTTCTTCATTTATTTAATTAGTATAATGTAATAATAAAATCACAAAAAATATAGTTTTAGTTTTTTAATTAAACTATTTTTTTAAATTAATTAATAACTATTTTAACTATTTTTCTTTAATTAAAAATAAATTAGAACTTAGGACTTAATTTATGTTTAATTATTTTCTTTAAATAATTAAAAAAACTAAAAAAGAATTTAGACTATTTTTATTGATTAATTTTATTTTCTAAGTAGATTTTTAGGTTATTTACTTTCTTAAATAAAAAAATAAGCAAAAATATTTTCTTACTAGGTTGTTAGACGTATTTTCAACTTTCGCGCGCATTATTCAGTTTTTGCAATTTCTATTCATTATTGTACCTGTATACTGGATGTAATAAACTAATTAGAATTTTTACCGTTTTCTTTATTTTCCCCTCCAATTTTTGTACATTGTAAACCCCCTCCCTGAAGCCATGCAATAACGTAGGGTTTTATCTTCGCACTTTACATTTTTTGTATATATTAACTGCTAGTAACTAGGCGTGTATGAAAAGACTGAAATCAAACGTTAGCAAACTTAACAAAAAGACAAAAATAACTGAACATAACACATTTGCACATATACACCTCTAGGGTACCCCACTTTGGTTGCCTTCAGAAATAAAATAGTCATGAGGCAGGAACGCTTTAGCAAAGACCCATAAATCAAAAGATCATAGTCCCTCGATGATCCTACAGTTACCTTCTCGATAAATGATCTAGTCCCTAAACAAAATTACTAAAGCGTATCCACAAGTTGCCTTCGTGACGGTAACGTCCCTTTCGAATGTCCCTAATACATCCAACAATAGGGCTACCTACTCACTAATAGTAGGATAGTACTGTTTAAAGGATAGGAGGAAAAGAACGGTCCTTTTCGAGTATAAAAGTAGATAACTGTTAGAAGTTTACTCAAAACATTTTGCACTTACACAAATACTACTTTTCAAAAACAACTTTCAAAAACATTTGCTTTGTCAACACTCTTGAAGACTGATACAAGAGTTAACGCAAAGCAAATTGCCGCACTAAGGCATTCTCCAAACATTTTCAAACACACAAAGCACAAAGGTATTTTAAAAATGAGCAAACCTCTAAGAGCTCGTAGATAACTACGGATGGAAAGGGTGCTAACACCTTCCCTTTCCATAATCTACCCCCCTTACTCAAAATAATCTCGAAAAAGGTCTTTTTGTGTTCTTTTCACCCTTTCCTTAATTTGGATAAAATAAAAGTCGGTGGCGACTCTTGCTTACCGCATCATTTGCGAACAAAAATGCAAAACCAGTATTAACAGTCGGTTCTGCCACCGTATCACAAAAATCATATATCTCGTCATGTCAAACTGTAAATTTTAAATTATATGTATGATTTACTACTTTAAAATATTCTAATTAAATGTTTGTATAATTATACTTCTTTATTTTGACAGTGAACTATCATTAAAAGCACTACTATCATTAAAAGAATTAAAACAATCAATGATGGAGGAATTTGAAATGACTGATCTCGGAAGAATGCACTACTTCCTTGGCTTAGAGGTTATGCAGCTTGACAGTGGAATCTTTATCTCTCAAAAGAGATATGCCAAAGAGGTCTAAAGAAGTTTGGGATGGATAAAAGCAATTTGGCCCTAAATCCTACTATTCCTAGGATTAAAATTGATAAAGATGATACAAGTGTGATAGTAAAAAACTCCATGTTCAACCAACTTGTTGGTAGTTTGATATATTTGACCACTATCAGGCCGGATCTGATGTATGCAGTTAGTGTAGTCAGTAGATATATGACCAAGCCAACTGAGATTCACCTTATGGCAGCAAAGAGAATACTGAGGTATGTGCAGGGAACTATGTGTTTTGGGATTTTCTATCAAAGATCATGCAATCAGGAGCTCGTGGGATACACAGACAGCGACTATGTCAGATGTATCAATGATAGGAAAAGCACCTCGGGCTATGCCTTTATACTTAGCAATGCAACGATGGCATGGTCATCAAGGAAACAACCTATAGTCGCACTTAACACCACCGAAGAAGAATTTGTAGATGCATCAGCTTGTGTCTGCCAACTGATTTGGATGAAGAGGGTGTTGTCCGAGTTGGACAACAATGGAAGCAAAAGTTCGATGATTTTTTGTGATAGCAGTTCTACCATCAAGCTCTCAAAGAATCTGGTTATGCATGGCAAGAGCAAACATATTGATGCGCACTTTCATTTCCTCCATGATTTAGAAAATGAAGGAAAGGTTTAATTAAATTATTGTAGCACCAAACAGAAAATATCTGATATCTTTACTAAGCCGCTAAAGCTTGAAGTCTTTCAAGAGCTCAGAAAGAAGCTTGACGTATGTGACATCTCAGAGATAAACTAGACAATCTAGTTTACTGGGAGAATTATTATGTTATTATTAATATTATTATTAATTGTTATTTACTATATGTAATTGACTTAGTCTCTATTGACCGTGAGAGGATCATGGTTGTTAGTTTTAATTATGCCTAAATTATAGGGAGTCAAGTATGACTTAGTGGCCTTATTCTTAGGAAACATTCAGTTCAGTTTTTTTTTTGTAAGCTATTTATATAGCAGTATTTCATTCTAATAAACAAGTCAGTTACCAGATTTGCTAACACAATCTACCTCCCACTATATTAATCACTTATTTCCAAGCACCCATCCTCCGATGATTTACCCAAACAATGATCCCTAAATATTTGAATGGAATTCCTCCCACCTTGCAATTAAGAACCTTTGTCGCCTCCTCCAATCCCAGCTAAAGAGCTCTTGTGGAAGTTTACTTTCAGCTCTGATACCAATTCAAATAGTTGCAGTGTTGCTTTAATTGTCCAAACATTTTTCTAACTTCTTTTATCCATGACGATAGTATCATCAGCATATCTTCACCATTTTCGAACTCATATCCATCGAAGAGGTTCCTTTGCACACTTTTTTTCCTTCATTAAATTAAACCATTCAGCTGTAATAAGGAATAAAAAAGGAAAAAGAGGGTCCCTTGTCTCAAATCATCTCCCTCATTGTAATTTCATCTTGTAATAAGGAATAAGAAAGGGAAAAGAGAGACCCTTGTCTCAATCATCTCCCCCATTGTAATTTCATCTTGTAGGACTAGTATTAAGCCCACCATAATATTTTATAAGAGAAAAATGATGGTGGACTGAGTGTAAATTATTTTTACATAGTCAGCTCAATAACAATCCTATATCTCGTCAAATCAAACTGTAAAATTTAAATTATATGTATGATTTACTACTTTAAAATATTCTAATTAAATCTCTGTATAATTATACTTCTTTATTTTGATAGTGAATTATCATTAAACTCATATTATAAAATAAAAGATCAATTATGCAACCCAAAAAAATTAAATTATGACTACAATAAATTATTCAAATGGCAAATAGTTAATGCATATTTCACAAATACATAGATTCAACTCTTCTGTTGGATGTAATGATATTTTTAGATGGATAATCTAAAAATTGACTAAAACCCAATTCATCTAAACTTTGTCTTTATCAACAAGAAAAGAATAGGACATTAAAATCTAATTCATAATTACCAAACAAATTTTCATTGCATTAAAAAAATAAAAAGTGAGCAATAATCAACATGAAAGGATGACATTTTCCAAATATCATCCTTTCTTTCAAAAAAAATGAACAATCAAGAAACAGGTGAAGGTAGTGTGGTTGGGTCAGCAGAGGAAGGTATATCAGGTCCAACACGACAACCTTCAAGCATGAAAACAATATCATTAATAGAAGGTCTATCAAGAGGATCATGTGCTGTGCAAAGAAGTGCAACCTTAACACCTAACAAAAACTCTTCCCATTCTGATGATTCCTGATCAATCTCAAGCAAACCAGGTTCCAACAGCTCCGAAATCAAACCTTTTTGTAACTGTTTCTTCACCCATTTCACTATATCTTCGTCTTGACCCGTAAACATAACAGCTTTTCTTCCTGTCAGTATCTCCAACAACACTATCCCGAAACTATATATATCTCCTTCCTTTGTCACCTGTCCTGTTAGCACAGCTTCTGGCGCGACATAACCCAACGAACCAACTGCGATTGTTGTTGAAGACGACGACTCTGCTAATTCTGTTGGGATACTAACCATTGTTAACCGGTCTAGCCCGAATTCGGATAAATGTGCTTCAAAATCAGCATCAAAAAGAACATTCTGTGGCTTAACATCGCCATGAACAATTTCGACAGAGTGTAGAAAACCCAATCCGCGAGCAATGCCTAGTGCGATTAAATGACGCATTGGCCAATTCAAAACATGACCGTCTTGTTGCGAAGCTTCTTGAAGCAATGTACCTAGATTTCCATTTGGCATGTAGTCGTAGACTAGTAGTCTTACATCAGGTGGTGGTCCTGCATAATAGCCGCGTAGAACTGTTAAGTTTCGATGCTTAACTTTGCCTAACGATTCTGCTTCTTTGCGGAATGTGTTTTCTTCTATCAATGTTGATCCGTTTGGAAGTCTACGAATTGATAGAACCATTCCATCTTGATACGAGGCTTTGAAGACAAGTCCGTGTTTTCCTCTGCTTAGAACGTTTTCTTCATCGAAGTTTCTTGTTGCTTCTAGTGTTTCGGCGTATGTGATTTTGTTGTTGAAGACTATTAACTTTGGTCCTCCGTTTTCACCGCTTCCTCGACTGTTTCTTTCTCCATTTGAGCCTGCACTTGTTGAGCTACGTTTCTTCTCGCCTGTTACTCCTTCTCGAAGCTTCTTTCGCCACCTTAAAAGACTGTAAACATAGCCACAACAAAACAATGCTAGAAAGCATAGTCCTGCAACTGCAACAGCTATGATGATTATTAGCCTTTTTCTCTTTCGTCTTCTCGCTTTTGCACAATCTCTATGCAATGGTTTCCCACATAGCCTCTTGTTCATTGCAAACACAGAAGGGTCATTGAATCTAGAACTCAGCATTTGTGGAATCTCACCCTCGAGGTCGTTGTTGGAAACATTTAAGTACTTCAAACCGGATATGCGCCAAAGATCAACTGGAATTTCTCCTGTCAATTGATTTGAAGACAGATTCAAAGCCTTCAAATTTGATAACTTGGACAAGGATAGCGGTATGTGACCGGTTAAGTGATTACCATTCAAATCAAGTGAGTTCAAAGAAGAACACTTGGAAATCTCATCTGGGATTTCACCTTTGAGTCCATTGTTTCCTAAACTCAGCTCCTTTAAACGAGTAAGGTGAGAGATAACACTCGGAACGATGTTACCTACTAACCGATTCGATTGAAGCTGAAGCACTTCAAGTTGAGAACAACCACCAATCTCATTAGGTATTGAACCAGAAATGAAATTGTGAGACAAAGAAAGAACAACCAACGAACTTAGGAAACCATAAGTTGTTGGAATGTTGCCAACAAAATCATTGAAACTAATATTAAGATACCTTAAACTAACAATGCTGCTGAAACCCTCAGGAACAGAACCACTCAAACTGTTTCCATCAAGTGCCACAACTTCCAAACTAGGTAATCCGAAAACCTCCACAGGTATCTCACCTGAAAGATTTTGTTTGCTTAAATCCAACACCCTCAGTTTCATCAAACTCCCAAGTGTAGATGGAACACTACCAGAAAACCCACATTGGCTCAAATTAAGAACCTGCAAACTTTTTAAGCCTCCAATACGATACGAAACTTGACCGGAGAATCTATTATTGCTGAGATTCAAAACACCCAAGTTTCCTAACTGCATAATCTCCAAAGGCAAAACCCCATTCAGCTTATTGTTGCTTAAATCCAAAATCTCTAACTCATAAAGACCTCCATAACTCTTTGGAATCAAACCAGTAAAAAAGTTACCCCCAAGAGATAACTCCTTCAAACTCTTCAACTCTCCAAGGAAATAAGGAACAAGACCTGAGAATCGATTCCTTCGAAGATCAAGAACCTTCAACAAACTACATTCCACAATACTACTCGGAACAACACCGGATAACGAATTATCAGAAAGTCTCAACTCTTCCAACAAGAAAAGATCTCCAATATCTCGAGGCAGATAGCCTGAAAAAGAGTTTCCAGAGAGATCAAGAGTCCTCAAAGATTTCACATTGGTCAACCAAGAAGGAAACAAAGATTGAATAATGTGATTCTCTTTAAGGTCTAGAATCTCCAAAAAATGATTATCACATTTTCCATTTCGCGGATTCGAAATACCCGTGAGCATATTAAAGCCAAGTTGAAGAATTCGAAGAGTATTATTGTGTTTGTTGTTTTGATTGCAAAAGAGGGTTGTGGGGACAAAACCAGAAAGTTGATTAAGGGAAAGTGACAGCACTTGAAGCTTTGGCATTGTCCCTATGGTAGAAGGGATCAACCCGCCAATGGAATTTTCGTCTATGCTGAGGTGCACCATAGAGGAACAGTTTGATATAGCAGAAGGTAATGTTCCGTGGAGACGGTTGTTGTCTAGCCACATATATTGCAGCTGTTGTAAAGCTCCAACTGTAACAGGTATTTGGCCTGTGAGGCCATTGTGAGAGAGGTTGATGAGTTGAAGCTGGGAGTTGGAGGTAAGGTTCCCTGGGATGTTGCCGGTGAATGAGTTGGAGGAAAGGTCGAGGATGCGTAGGGAGTTAGAGAGACGGTTTGGGATAGTGCCGGAGAGAAAGTTAGCAGCAAAGTTAAGAACCTGAAGGTTGGTGAGGTTGAGAAGTGAGGGAGGGATGTTTCCAGAGAGGGAGTTGTTGTGAAGATAAATGGCGCGGAGGAAGAGACATTGAGAAAGAGAGGGAGGGATTGAGGAAATGAGGTTGTTGGAATGGAGACTTAGTTTGCGGAGTTGTGTGAGTTTGGAGAGTGATGAAGAGATGGTGCCGGATAGTTGAAGACGAGGTAAGCGTATTTGGTGGACTCTGTTGTTGGAACAGAGAATGCCGTGCCAGTCGCATGGTGGTGATGGGGTTGATGTGTTCCAGGTTGTTAGTGAGTTGAGTGGGTCGAGGAGGTTTAGTTTGAAGGTTGTTAAGGCCTGGATTTCGTTGTTTGTTGTTGTTGAAGCATGTGTTATGATGAGTATGGTGGTGAAGTATGTGAGGCATGCAATGGTGAGAAATATAGCCGTTGTTGCCATTTGTGTTTCTGGTTAGGAAGAAGAAATAATGATATGAGGGAATGAGTGAATGAGTGTTTTGTGTTGTGGGTGAGTGGGTGGATTCTGGGATTGGTGTTTTTGTTTGTTTGTGGTCTAGTAGTAGCTAGTTGTGGTTTAGAGGAGCGTTTGCTGTTTTGGTTACTGCAACCAGAGTCAGGTCTTGTATTTGTATATGTGATGTGATTCCTCTCTCTCTATCTATCTAGTATTTTTTTACTGCAACGTCTAGGTTTCATTCCCGAAAAGTTTTGGGAACTTTTTTCCCTCAATTTCTATGTCATGTGGATGGGAATGGTGTAATAATGAAAAAGAAAGGAAAACCGGATTAAAGGCTGAACTTTTGGAACATGGACATTGTGACTCTATTCATTACGTACGGGTGGGTCATTTGGATATCTAACAATACTGGATATGGGTTTTATAGTCTTACCCAACAATAATTATGGTAGTAATATTTTACTGACTGGTGGGTCATTTTCTGTGCCTATTGCTCACATCATAGCTGGTAATTTGTGGGGGTTAAAATTTACAATAATTGAGATTCTGTTTTCAAGTTTTTTTTTAAAGATAAACTAGTAATATTCTGTTTTCAAATTTTTTTTTAAAGATAAACTAGTAATAAACACGTGCGAATATTGGAAAAAATTATATGAAAAAAAATAAGAAATTGAAAAATAGAAATAATTAAAGTTTTTAAAATATAATAGTTAAAATTGAAAAAGTAAGTTATGAATAATTTTTTTTAGCAATAATAGTTATGATTTAAAAAAAATAAAAAAATATTTCAAAAAGGTAATATAAAATAAAAAATAAAACAAATTATGTAATGAGATTTATGAACATAATATCGGCAGTAGAATATATCATAAAATAATTGTGGGCCGTAAGTCATAATGAAAATAGTGTTGGGTATATAAAATGTAAAAATCAATTGGGCCAGGAATAAGCATGGAAAGACCGGTCCAAGATGAAGGATGGATAAAAAGAAGAAGTGGAAACGCGTGAAGAAGTCTTTGTGCTACTGGAGGAAAGCCACCGCAAGTGTCAGCTTCCATCTAAAAGTGACGATCGGAGGTGCAGTTAGGGGGCGCCAAAGGTAGGATTAATGATTTTGGATACTTTGCATGTTTAATTCATGATATTGTTATTATAGATTTAGTCATCGACGTTGTTTTTCTGGTGTTATTTCTCAGAAGATTCAAACAGTTTCATTCAGATATGGAATGGAAAAGACTGTCCAGAGTCAGTTTTGTCAACGACATTGGAGAAGTCCCGATTTGAAGAAGAATGGAAACAAATTTGGGAAATTTCCACTTCCTAGTGTTTGAAATTGAGGAGTCGAGGAGCTAGTGGTAGAGAAGACTTAAACAGAAAAGCGAAGAGATGGAATCATTGTGAAGATGCAAAAGGTCATACTCAGGATGGGAGTCTAGGTCAAGCTTTGAAAGAAGGCCAAAGGTAAGAAACGTTTAGTCAAGATTATGAAAATCATTATCATTCGTTGTAGGTGTTGAAAATTCACCAAATACCTATAATGAATTTCTACCAATCTTGATGAACAAGATTGATATCACCATACAATGACAATGAATTCTGAGAAAAGAAAAGAAAACAATTATTTTCTGCAGAGTTTCTCTATGCCCACAAACTGTGGAAAACTTTATTAATCATTTGCAACTACAAATTTTGTGATTACGATGAATTGACTTTTTTACAAAATTAGGGGTTACTCCCTCTAGATTTAGGTTAGCTTTCTTTCTACGCAAAAGCCCAAAATACATATTTTGGTACTAAATCAAATCTATCTATTTTAGATCTAAATTAAATTTATCTAAATCTAAAACCAATCAAATCTGTGTGTAGCTTGCTTCGATCCACAAGCTCTTCGACTGGGCAACCTCCATTCGACACACACGTTGTTTCAACATAATCGAATTATAATTTAACACACCACCTAATTCGTTGTGTCTAAACTATTTATATTCATCATGGTTCTTAGTCTTCTGAATACTTCGACCTGCACTCCCTTCATCATGATGTATGCAATCCGATTCTCAGTTCTGTAGTGTTCCAAATTCATCTTCCCATATGCTACCTACTCTCGAAGATAGTCGAATCTCATTTCGATGTGCTTGCTTCAACCATGTGCTATCGGGTTCTTCGCCAGATTGATAGCTGACATGCTGTCGATCTTCATGGTAATTGCTCCATGATCTTTCCATGTTATCTCTTTGACCAAGTTCACCATCTGTTGTACCCCAAAATTTTCCCTCTCATTTATCAAGTAATCTCTCACAAGATCTCTTTTGGTTCAAGACTGCACAAGGGTTGATCAGCTCAAGACACCTCCTTAAGCACTTATGACTGAAATTTAGGGTTTGAGAATGCACAAGGATAAATGGACTTTTAATGCCCCATTTTACTTTCATGGATAATTTTGTATTCCCAAGATTTCTCATGACAAGTTTCAAGTCTTGGATCACATTTTTGCTCAGTCAATTGATCAGTTGACCTAAAAATCAACTATATTGGGGAAAAAGTCAACTGTAGTCAATTTACAGTCAAACTTCATAATTTTTTATCCATATAAACATTATGAACTCATATATGTCATTTGATCAAGTTTGGACCATAATTCCTCAAGAAATTTGATCAGATCATCAAAAGGGCAAAATGGTCAAAATTAGGGTTTTGACTAAGGAGGTGCAACTTCTGATTTTTGACCTAGCAAATGGTTGATTAGTTGGAGACATGATCTCAAGGATTCAATTGCATCATTTTAACATAATGGCATGACTCAAAACTTCCCTCAAGATCAATTGATTGATAGTTGATTTTCAGTAAACGGATCAAAAGTCAACTGTACACTAAAAAGTCAAACTTTGACTTTTTGGTCAAAATCAAGTGTCAAAGATCACAATTCATCAAAACATGTCAAAATATGAAACTTGTTCATCAAGAAATCAAAAAGTCAAAATTTTTAAACTTAGAAATTTTTCTTCTAAGTGTTGGAAACTTCTTATTTTTTCACAACTTTAAGCCAATTTTTCACCATGATGCAAGATGATTCAAAGGAAACTTTCAACATGAAAGTTGTAGATCTCAATGAGATCTAAAACATTTTATAACACAACTTCTCCTGAAAATTCATGTATTTCAAGTTATGATTTTGTGAATACATGTTCATGAAACTTGGAAACTTAGTGAAATTTTGCCCTAGTTTAGGCAGGGTTTTGACCTAACTTCATGGCAATTTTTCACATAGTTTCAAGAGTAATTTTCAAAAATAACCAACATAGAGGTTGTAGAGGATGTTACAAGCTTTCCTAAAAGGACAATAACTCATTGAGATCATACTTGATCAAGGAGAATCGAAGGCAAGAATTTAGGGTTTTCAAACTTGAATTACAAGCCATTTCATGATGAACAAGAATTCAAATCCAAGCCTAGGATGCATAATCTTTGCTTTGCAGGCCTCAAACTTTTTTGTCACTCTATAATTAAATGTTTACACAGTTGTTAGAGTTTTGATCCAAGCATTTGAGCCATTATCCAAAGTTGCATTTCCATTTATGGCACAAAGTTACCATTCCATTCTTGTAAAGAGGCTTTAATCACAAAGTCAACTTGTCTTGAGCTTTGCACTTGTTTCTTCTGATCACGCACAATCTAAAAGCCATAAGAAACTTGTCTAGAGCCTCTAACAAATCAGGCCATGCTTGTACTATGCCTTAAAACCATGTTTTCCACTTTTCTTCAAAATCAAGTAACATAGCCATAACTCTATATCTTGTATTTCTGACCACCTGAAGAAAACCAACCTTTTCCATACATATGCACAAGTTATTTGCAAGCTAACACAGGAATACACAAGATCTCAAACTCCCCAAAACTTAGAATTGCATCAAAAACCACCATTGTTGCATATTCTGACCAAGAACTTCAAACTTCCATTTCCCTCGTGGGTTTCTTGGCCTTTTAGTTTCAAAAGCTTCCTCACATCAAATACAAACCATCCATGTCCCTGTTTGCAGACTGTAACATCATCTTCATCAACATCCAATTTCAAAAACAGAGCATTGCAGTTGGACTTCTCCAGACCATTCCAGCCACTCTCAGTTCAAGCCAGCTATTGCAATAGCTTCCTAGAGGTTCAAGGAAGCTAACATGATCATCACCATCACTTGAAACAAGCTAAAACTCATTTCACGATTTCCAGTTTTGAGGTATTTTTCTTGAACTTCTATCTCATTATTTAGGCATTGTTAGGCTTGCATTTATGAAAATAAAATGTAGACATCATTGCCCTGAAACTATACATGTCCATATATTTCATTTATGTTGCTTGAGTAGGGAGAATTTTGAGTTTGAATCTCTGAAATTATTTAGGTCAGAATTTGGTACTGTTAGAAATTCATGCTCATCTTTGAGAATTAGATTAAGTTATTTACATATTCAGAATATTGAGGAAATTTCTAACAAGTTTGATGTTGGAAGTTTTATGAATGGATGAGAAATGAATAAGTTACAGATCCTTTGGCTGAAGGTTGAAGATGAAGTACAGTTAGGGCAAGACTTGTATTGTAACACCCCAATTCTACCCGACAATTATATAAGCAAATCAAAGTTATAATCATTCATGCAAACGAATCAGGATGCCACAAATTCATCTTTAAAAACTCATTGCATTCAACATGGATACATAACACTTTAAAACTTCGGATGAACCATCGTCATAACAATTTAATCTCTTCATTCAACAATTTAAGCATCTACGCAACAGAATTCTTAATAACATCTTTATCCATCGTTACAGCAACTTCAAAACAACACATACTTAATAAAAATTAAATTAAAGTTCAACAACTGAAATAATCAACAATTAAAAGCAACAGGCATTCATCCCCCGAGTGTTACATATCAGAGCAATGACACCGACTCGAACTACTGAAGGTATACAGTCTTCACTCTCGATTACC